GTGTGTGTGTGAGTGTGTGTGTGTGTGTGAGTATGTGTGTGTGTGTTTTCACCTCGAGATTTCATCCCGATAAATCTGTTCTCCACCAGATCCACTCTGCCGACGCCATGTTTGCCTCTGGAAAGGGAGAGAAAGAGACATGCCATTAGTCTATAAGTGTATAAGGACACATTACCACTTACCGTACATTATCTATCGTCTCTTGGTGGAATCGCTACCCTAAAATTAAAAGGTTCTACCTGACATTTTTGGCCGTTTTGAATTACTAAGATCAGGAAGTCAGGAACCAAAAGTTCTATCTTTTCTATCAAAATCGTAAGATTATTCGGGGTCGTCATCAAGATATTCTAAAAATAATTTATTGTATTTGTCAAATCTTCACATCTTGTGAAACTCAAATGCTCAACGTCAAATTTCTCTTAACTAAGCACTGAGCAGACAGTATGTTGTAACCCTAGGGTATCGTAATTTAGGTGTGTTTTTACGCCATCACCGCCACCATTTAAATCATGTAGGAGGCAGACTTCCTACACTGCCAGTCTGTCAGGGCCAACCCAGGCTGAGAGGGTTACAGCATCCAGGCACAAAAACAAGAAAGTCTAAGCAAATTAATTTAGTCCCCTTTCGGGGTCGAACTTGAGTTTATTTGGATGCGATAGACAGAAAGAAATATTACAAGGATAGGCAAGAGGTTGGACCTACCAGCTGCAGCCTCCAAACATTTTCTTGGACTGCATGGTAATCTTAACAGAGGAAGACTTACCCACATTGGAATACAAGATAATCCTTCTAGCTAAGGCAACAAAATTTGTATTATAATATTTTACCCTTTTTAAATGTGTAAAGAATTATACTGAAACTATACTTTATATTTTTCTTGCTATATAAAAATCTTACCTAAACTGTACTACAAGTTTGCTAATAGACTTTTACAATAGATTTACCGAAAGTAGATTATGTTTAACTCCAACAAAATAAAACCTTGCCGGATTTTAAGTGAACTTATTCTCACTATATTATTATGAAGACTTACAGAAATTAGACTACACTTTCCTCTTACTGTGTTATACAGACTTGTCCAAAACTCTGTTGTCCTGTACTGTTTCTAAACGAAGACTTACCCAACTTCGTTGAGATAAGAAAAGATCTCCAGCGATGCCGTTTTTCGCACATTTCCATTGGCATTGCTCACACACACTGGTACACCTGGGAGGAAAAAGACTGTTATTGTTTACATCTGCAGGTACACA